AATGAGAAGCCCGCCTATGCCCATCCCTCCTCTACTCTCCGCCCTATGAGCGTGCTCCTCCGCAGCTTCTCCTCCACAGCCGCCGCCACTGCCGTTGCCGCCTCAATATTCAGCTCCTCCTCCTCGTCTTCCGCACTCTCCGTCGCGGCGCTCCTCATCTCCTGCCGCTCCCTCCGCAGCCTCGAGCAGATCCACGCCCGCATCATCCGCAAGGGCCTCGAGCAGCACCCGGTCCTTGCCACCCGCTTCCTTTCCTTCTGCGCCGCCTTCTCCGCCCCGGCCTACGCTTCGTCCGCCTTCGACCGTCTTTCCGCCCCCAACCTCATCGTCTGGAATGCCCTCCTTACCGCCCACGCTCGCCACTCTCCCCTTCCCACCACTGTCGCCCTATTCAACCTCCTCCGCCGCCGCTCCCCCCTGCCTCCCGATGCATTCACCTTCCCTTCTCTCCTCTCATCCTGTTCTCATTCCGTGGCCCTTTCACTCGGCTCCTCTGTCCACGCCACCATACTCCGCTGCGGCCTGGAGGCCGATGTCTTCGTCCGGACGGCGCTCATCGATTTTTACGGCAAGTGCCGCGAGCTTGGCGCAGCGAGGAAGCTATTTGATTCCATGCGACATCGAAACGAGGTATCTTGGACCGCAATGATCGTTGGTTACCTGAGTTCCGGCGATCTGGCCTCCGCAAGATCTCTTTTTGACGAAATGCCGAAGAGAAACGTGGTAACTTGGAACGCCATGATCGATGGATACGTCAAGTCTGGGGATTTGGTAAGTGCCCGCCATTTTTTTGATAAAATGCCAGAGAGAAATGCTGTCTCCTACACTTCGTTGATTGATGGTTATGCCAAAGCTGGGGACTTGGCATCGGCCAGGGTCTTGTTCGAGCAGTTGCCAGAACGGGATGTGTTCTCATGGTCAGCAATGATATCAGGGTACGCTCAGAATGGTCAGCCAGGCGCCGCCTTGAAGATCTTTCTCGAGATGTACAATCAGAACATCAAGCCTGACGAATTTGTGGTGGTTGGGTTGATGTCAGCATGTTCCCAGTTGGGTAGCCTCACATTGGCGAAATGGGTGGACTTGTATGTCACTCGGAGCTCGATCGATCTCAGCAAGGCCCATGTCTTGGCTGCTTTGATAGACATGAACTCAAAGTGCGGCAACATGGAAAGAGCTGCCAGTTTGTTTGAATCAATGCCGAACAAGGATCTAATCTCCTACTGTTCTCTGATGCAAGGGTATTCTCTCCATGGTGCCGGAGACAAGGCTGTGGGGCTGTTCCGTCAGATGCTTGAGGAAGGACTCATGCCTGACAGTATCACTTTCACAGTAGTCCTTGCAGCATGCAGTCGTGCTGGGCTTGTCGAAGAAGGGAGACAGTATTTTGACTTGATGACGAATGAACACCTGATCGTTCCATCTCCAGATCATTATGCTTGCATGGTGGATCTTCTCGGACGGGCAGGGAGATTAACAGATGCCTATGAGCTGATCAGATCAATGCCTGTGGAGCCTCATGCCGGAGCTTGGGGAGCATTATTAGGGGCTTGCAGACTCCATGGTGATATATCACTAGGAGAAACTATTGCTCGAAAGCTCTTTGAAATCGAGCCGACAAACGCAGGTAACTATGTCTTGCTATCAAATATCTATGCGGTGGCAGATCGGTGGGCAGATGTATCGGAGTTAAGGACTATGATGAGAGGAAAAGGGATCAGGAAAGTGCCTGGTTATACTTGGATTTAGCCGTGAGACACAATGTTCATGGTATCCATTTGTTCTGGTACGGGAATTTGCAGGACTTGGTCCAAGAAAAACTGGCGTGAGACCAGCATTTGTGTGGCTTTGCATGGAATGCCTGAGCTCTTTGTGGCTGGGAAAACAAGCCTTAATCTCCTTGTTCTGGTTACACGAAGAATTCACTGTTGAAGGCTAAAAAAAAGCCGGCCATGACATGCTTCAGAACTATCTATTAAAAATATCAGCTCAGCTGACTAATTTTGCTGATCATGAGATCTTCCACAAAAGCACATATTGAATGCAGGGTTTATAAGTTCATGCAGATAAGGTCTCTGAAATGGGTTGTCATTGCTGCATTGCTGATGTATGTTCACCTCAGCACTGGAAAATGGTGGCTGCTTGAATTCTGTCAGTTTATGACTGATACGTGAAGGTATTGTAATGTGATAACATTCTCGAGTTGGATTTTGAGTACTGTATTGGTTAATTAGGAAATATTGTTCCTAAAATGTACAAAGAGATGTGAGCCTCTTACAAAAAAGTAATGTAGCAGATGAATTGATACACCCTTTTCAGGCGCCAATGGGCAAATTAAATTCATATGGAAAAGGTTTGGCTTGGCGTTAGATTAATCGTATATGTTATGTTTTGCTATGCAATTATCTCACTTGTTCCTTACTTTCACAGTATCCATCACAACATTGCACATTCTTTTATCCAGAGTAGAGCATTATATATGTCCAGTAATCAAGAACAAGTCGGGTACGCTTTGTCAATGATGAGCACTAATGCTAGTTCAAATGTTTGATGTTAGATGAAAGCAAGTCCAACTAATCCTACTCACCAAATAAACATGTCTCTTGTAAGCAATTTGATCCCCAAAAGCCACAGAGTTCGCATTCACATGTAACTTCTGGTTTGGACAATAACAACTATTCATCAAACACCGACAGTAGATCAGTATGTATGTTCTTCAAAAGGCTCAAATGGCAATACTGATACAACAGGAACTGTTATGACTTCAAATTTCAATCCCATACAAAAATAACTGGAATCATAATATCATCATAATCCATTTCTTACAGAAAAAGAATCGCTAACATCTTTCGGAAGTCTCTAGCGGCTAGCCCAGATGAATATGAGGATCCATTCTTCAAGTCATAACTAAACTTCTCGAATGCAACCAACAAGTTGAAACAGCATCCGAGATTAGTATACTTGGGAGAAGACCTTGTTGGGAGGGATGTTTTCGCGTTTCTCCACGTATGCTGATGGAAACCAACCTGCCTTGCCTCTGCATTCTCCTTCGGACCATCCTGATGGAGACACCTGAATGCACAAAGTTGACACGGGAAAGAACGTCAATGCTATAACATTGATATCCTAACAACTCTAACATAGAAGCAATGAGTGTAATTGCTTCACCAAGTCATCATATAGCTTCTCACCTGAAATAGCATATGAGTAGGTTTCTTTTCAAGTCAAAAAGGATGTTAGACATTACAAATAACAAAGAATACACCAAAACAGATTAGATCCAATGATTAGAAATCTCATAATATAAACATGATCAACAGATGCTTGGCCACCAATCTAATGGATGAATATTTAGATTTGGCAACAATTGGTATCAGGATCCTTTACAAATCACAAACATACATGAGTGATTAAGTTCCTTAATTCTAATGTTCATATTCCACTAGATCTTCAAAATACATTCAAACAGTTTCAGAAAGAGATTGAAGCCAAAAAATTTCACAATATCAAGGCATAAATTTTTTTCCCTCAGCTTGTGCAACCACCCAGAGAGTATGTGAAGAATCATATCCATTTTAGCCCACTACATTGTGGCCTAACTATACCACCACTGAACATCATCATATATGTCAGAAGATGGTTGATTATTATTTCTGTTTGTTTCCTTCACCACAATCTAGAAAAAACTATTTGATATGAATAGTCATACAGCAAGTACAATGGTATGTATACCACATACACAGAGGAGGGGGTGCAAGAATTTCTCATTAGATTTTGAATCAAGTTAATATAAACAAAGTTAAATAATGGTATATATAAGATTGTAGATATGCACCGACAAAAAATTTTCTCCAAGATGAACATTTTAAAACTTCGCTAGTTGAATATAAAATTAGAAAAAAGTGGGGGCCAATGGTATGAGACTGTTCGCTAAAAAAACCATTGCAGAAACTACCTATACCATGGTTCAATTGATCAACCAGTCCTATTTCATGTATGTTTTGCAAGACAACACAATCAGGATATGAATTAGCACCAAATAGCCAATCTGAACAGTGATGACTAATAAAATAACCCTCGGTGGTGATGCTAAAGAAAAACCATGTTTTGTGTTAGAAAGAAAGATTTTAGCTTTGTCTTATTATAAATGTTCTATGATCTCTTCACATAAATATAGGCTGGTAGACAAGTTTGAGAAGGCTTCCTTGCCAGGACCATTGTCCCATATGGCCGTATCCCACTTAAAATTAAAAAGATTATAAGAACTCCTAGCCTTAATTGCAAAGTAGCAAATTTCAGGTTATGATTGTAACTCCTGCAAACAAGAAATTGAAATATATGCTGAGAACAGGCTTGGAGTTTGTGTCTAAATATCAACATTGTAGATAACATCTGATAAGATCAGAGTTTTTAAAAGCACTAGGCACTAAAGTCCCAAAATGCCCGAGCCCCTCTAGAATATTAAAAATATAAAAAAATATATAGAGAGGAAGGGTGGGGGGAAAGAGAAGAGGAGTAACTGGCAGCTATAGAGGAAGGTGAGGAAGGAAAGGATGGCGGAGTAAGTAGCGGCCATAGGGTTTCAAAGCTGGGTCGGGGGATCGGAGCTGTGGACGAAGGTTGTGGTGACGGACGAAGCTACAAACGAAGGCGACAAGGGCGAAGGAAGCTATGAACAAAGGTGTCGACAATGAAGGAAGCTTTGAACAAAAGCAACAGCAGAGGAGGGAGCTGCGGATGGTAGGGTTTCAAAGCTGGGCCGGGGGGTGGGTTTTTGTGAGGGCACTTTAGTTGGTTCAATTGAACCAACTTGCCGGTTCAATTGAACCAGGCACAAACTGCACCCGGTACCAACTTGCCTCTTCAATTGGGCGCTTGCTCGAGGTGCCCGACACTTGGGCTCAAGAGCACCTGGGCAGTGCTTAATCAAAACACCTCGCTCAGGGGTTGTGTGAGGCACTCGGGCCTCACCTTGCTCGAGCGCCTAAGTGAGTGATCGGGCACCTATTAAATGTTGAATCTCGGATTTT